TTTTCCTATTGGGCCCAATCTAGATATTCTGTATTCTGTACACACGCTTTACCCTTTATGGTCAGTGGTGATATTGTGTTTTATGTATGTACTTCTTATCATGGTATACAATGTGCATTTGTGTGCATCTCAGTTTCTACGTGTCTTTTTCCTGTGGGGATTATCTACTCATTACCCCCTTCCTTCGTTCCTTGAACCAGTGGGTCCCAGGATATCACCGAGGTCGACCTTGCCTCAAATTGGCGAAGACACTGTTGCCTCCGTTGGCCGTGCCTCTGTTTTCTTCAAAGAAGACCATTCTGACCGGTCCCGGTCGTATCTTGCCTTGGGGGGGGCAGGGGATGAGAAGTTGGGGGCAGGGCTCTGGCGTAGATGTTGCCCTTGAAAATTGATGTGGACCCCCCACGACGAATTGTTTGAAGGTTTTTGATTTGGTGGATACATCACCTTTGATTGAGGGATTTCAAGCCTTTCATAGCGACAGGGAACTCATAGCTAACCCACTCAGCACAAGACAATCCAGTGAACAACAGGCAGTATAAGTGATGCAGCTGTAGCAAATAAGGCTCAACATAGCAGACGTGTTGTTGTTTGTTTTCGATGTGTGATTTGACAGATGTACATGATGTACAGTTTTAATTTTAGAGCCGGTGATTTATCCCTGGGAAGAGCAATCGGCCAAAAAGATTCTGTGTTTTTTTTGCTATAATAGGGTGCAGTACTCTTGTACCGAAGCTTCTGAATCGCTGAGATGTTTTCTGCACACAAACTTTGCCATTGGGTTACATCGATGCTGGTTTCAGCAAAGGTAAAGTTATCAATAGTGGCGCGTTTCCACTAACATTTTTGATCACTGTTCATGGGAGCCTCATGTGACCCATTCAAAAGTCACATTAACCAATCTCATATCATATTATATATATATATATGTATGTGTGTGTGTTCCTTTCAATGTCGGAATCCCAGTAGGTTGAAGCCAGTTGTTTGAGTATGGTTTATGATACCATGGTTGTATAATTTCATTAGGGCCAGTATGGTACAATATAATTCCATTCCCCCAACTGACGCAAACCAGAAGAATCACTCCTTTTTCCACTGGCCATTTCAAGTACCTAAATCGGAGGTACCTGCTGACTGTCTGTGTAAGGTGTACGTACATGCCCCCAAAATATAACCTCAAAGAGGTACAGTCCCTCCATTTTGATCTATGCTGATTTGCTAGAGGTAATGGGTGTCATACATTACATCTTGACGGCTTTATTCTGGGGTTCACCTGGCCCCATTGATCCATTAATCCATCATTAATCCACGAAAATCGATCTATATCTATATCCCATGAATCCCATCTTCACCTCAATGTTTAAACATCTCAGAACTAAATCCCATGAATAGTGAGATGTTTAAAAATCCCATAGTCCCAGAATAGAATATAGAAAATCACCTAAATACTGGCTGATAAGAATATGGCTATGGATCAATACCTATAAATACCATTTTTAGGGGGATGAACATCCATTTACCAGCTATTTTGATGTTCACCAGGGCTGCAAGGTTTTGACCCATCCCCATATAGTCCCAGAAATCCTTCTCAACCAACCATGAACACTGCGTAAAACGAAAAAAACACATGAGTCCACCATCGAATTCCAGCAGGTCCTCGGCATCCTCGGGCTTTTTCGCCAGGCGCAGAGCTGAGCTGATTTCATGGGAGTTTCCATGGGGTTGTGAACCATCAAATATGGGAAAAACATGGTTTCACCATGAAAAATATGGGGATTCTATAAGAGATTGATGGGGGATAATGATTTTTAACATGTTATCAACTAACCAACTCTATCTTGTCCAAAGATTAATGGGATTATAATAGGGTTGTAAGCGGATTACAATGGTTCTCTTTCATGATTACATCATCCCTTCCCCGTTCATATTACATTCCCCGCAGAGACCGTGGTGGATGTAGGGGATGAATTATACATATTTGGGACCATGAGATGGTGCCGTGGTTGGTTCTATGCCCAGAAAATTGCCTGTTAATTTTCCCATCACCTTTTTGAGATTCGTTGAACATTGTGTGAAACCCATTGGTGTATCATGATCTTCCTTTTTGGAATTTTAGAATTCGAGAATTGCCACTATAGGGTGCCTTTATTTTCAGACACATCCAAATGGATATAGGGTTGAACTAGTCCAGAGTCAATGATTTCTATATATTAGTTACTCTGGATATTGGTGCGCATTCGAAATGGCTGGACTTTTCAGGCTGTTGAATTATCGGATAAATTATCCAGATAACTCAGGATTTGCACAAGAAAATGGATTTATATAACTACACAATAATTAGTAAGTAGCATCAACTAGCCTGAAATGGGGCATATACACATATGTATATATAATTATATATATATATATATATTATATACGTATATATACATATATGATATCAGCATATATCAGCTATGTAACGTGCAACTCAAAGTAGTACAAAGTAGTGGTTTCAACTATGTTCAGGTTGTTAACCATACTTAGTTTTGACTTTCACATTTTTGGGATGAGTGGCTCACCCACATAACATACGAGACATTGAAGAACTCCAACTTGTAAAACAACTGATAATTACTCCGAGTTTAGGCAGTATAGAAATGGACATACAAACCATATCCAACCGGAAGCTTGACGATGTCTATTTTGGGGTTATTTGGTTAGTCCAACCCCAGGCAAAGCAACCTGAATATGTACACACATATAGACATACACACACATATTTATATATATACATAAAATATAAATATAAAATATATATATATATATATGCCCATATATGCACATACATAGGAAGAACTGGAAAGGGCTGATGGTTGCACAAAATCCTTCATTTCTTGTCGTGACAAACACTTCAAACAATTTCAGTCCTTAGACAATATGGTACAGTATCTGTATCTTCCGTTGCACAGTTCATCACACATGTGGAGCTCAAGATGCAAACAGCCCGACTCCTTTGGTGTCTTAGCCCTTCTGACCCTGACGCAATCTGCAAGAAAAGGAGTTTGGCGTACCTGCCGGTCAGTGTTTGTTCATCTCTTCCATTCTTGTGATGAACAACCAGATTTAGACAGTTTTTGTGCCATCAGCCATCCTACATCAAGTCATTCATGGATAAATTTGATGCCAGGATTGGTTTCAATTACCAATCCATCTCCATCTACTTTCTGGTAAACTAACATAACTATGGAACATAATTATTTTACTGGGTAAATCACTTATAAATGGTCAATTTTCAATAGCTATGCTAAATTGCCGGAGAGTATGGCTTCGCATTTTACCATTCCTGCGCTGGTCTGCTTCACGCGCAAGGCCCACTTTGAAGAAGCGCAACACCATCGACCAGCGGAAGGAACAGCTCCTTCGCCAGCACCAAGCCTTCTTGGATCCAGAATTTGATTGGTCAGATACCATCCAGCAACCACCACTTAGAAGAACGAATGATAATATATAGTAATATAGCAATCATATTGTTTTGTCTTTTCCAGCCACCTTTTAGGGCTATCCAATAATTGTGTAGTCCATCCTTGTTTGGAAGCTGCTCCAAGGCAGAGAGATTGCCACTGGCTGATGTCACCATAAATGATGAGTTTGTTTGGCTTGAGGAGTCGTCACAACCAGGCCAAGATAGTCAGAAAACCCAACACGTGATGCATTGTTGTTCACATGTCTTATCTACAGTATTGTAGATATACCCATATATGACAATAATATATATATATATATACATGTGTGTAGCTGTGAATGGGACATGACATGTAGTAGATACCATGATTTCTTATAGCTCTCTGCAGTTTCCAAACTCCAACCTTCATCAAGTGTCCATTTAAGTGGGTAGTAGCATGTAATGGCCATATTAAACCACAATATGTGTGGAATATCCCTAATTCTGGTTAAACATGGCCTATTTCCCATGATATATTAATACGTTGCACATTATACATATACTGTATACTCAATTATAATCCATTTGCAAGCTAGTTAACTACCTCCATGGCCTATCTTGGGTGTTATCCCCATGAGTATGAACCTTACATAGAAAGCTTCACCAGTTCTAAGTTATTTTGCAAACCCCATGACTTTGAAACATTGATATCTCGACTCTAAAAACGTAGCTAAGGAACTGGGTCACCACCGAAGGTAGGCAGCTTCAGCACCTCCCTGGTTTTAGTGGTCATATCAACATGTATTTTAGTAGATTAAACATGATTAAACCCCAGTTGTACTTTTATGTATATCCGACAGATCTCCAGATAATTCTATGGCATAACTGGGTGACCTACCACCACTTCGGCACCGTAAAGTCGACCCGGGGAAGTCTCCGAGGTTCAACCGTCTCTTCACCCAGACCATGCAGCGACGCCTGCGGACGGCCACGGACAAAGGCGCGGCGCTGATCTTCCGCAAGCGCCTCGAAGCGCCGTGGACGCCGCCGGCCTCGGGGCCTATAAAAAAACCAGCTATGGCATGGTAGGTTACCCTCTGGTAAACTGTCCCATAACTATGGAAAATCACAATTTTCAATGGGAAAATCCACTATTTCTATGGTCATTTTCAATAGCTATGTTAAATTACCAGAGGGTAATCGTGATCATTGCGGGAATCCTTACGATGTTTTTTTTCAAATAACTTATTGATTTATGATTTTCCAGTGATCCATCGATTACAATGGATCCGTAATGGATTGCAATGGATCAGCCACGTTTGATTATCAGAGCTGGGGGGGATAGGTTGTTGTACACCCAGACATGGGGACTTGGAAAAAGAAGAATTGGCAATCATGGTTGATGTATGACAACTATGTTGGTGAATTTGCCTAGGTGAGTGAGTTATGGTTTATGGTAGCTGGGGCTATAGTTCATGGGGTGTAACTAAACCCACGAACACAACTGAGGGCACTCCTCCTATCTATGTGTGAAAATGTATGCAAGAAATCATTTAGAAATGGTTCAGCTACGTGTCTACATGTGTCTACCATCGTACATGGCTCATGGCTGTTTGTTCCATACACATGCACACACACACATATATATATATATATGCATATATATATAGCTGTTTATATAGTTTATATAAACAAAGGAATGCATGTGTTCTTTTGTTTTGGTCGTTTTTGACTTCAAGCCAGTCATGGTTACAAAGTGGGGCCTTTTGTTCCAACAGTTTCCAGGGGGAGTCCAAGTCCCCCGTGCTCTCCGGTGTTAACAGTTCCAAACACGATAATCATATGAAATTATGTGGGTCTGTTTCGACAATAAGTTTGAAAGTTTTTTCTCATTGACATGACAGTGAGTTAGGTCACGCAACAGTATGCTACAAATGTATACGAACCCATACTTTATTTAATGTCAGATGAAATCTGAATATATATATATATATATATATTCGTGGCATGCAATCGATGGGTTCGCACCAAAAAAAATGAACAACGGTATCCTTATCCATTCGGCGGCTTTATCCACACCACCTGCGGAAGATGACGTCTCTGATCGCCCCCAGGTCACTAGCAGACGCCAGCAAGTCCCAACAGATCACTCACAAGATTTTGGAGTCGAAACGTGCTGATCTCAAGCCTCAGCCATGTCACGTTGTGGCCATGTGTTTACCTTTTTGATCTTTTTGTTTTTCTGGCTCTGGAGTTTCTGTATGTATGTGCATGTGGAAGCTGCATCTCTCTCTCTCTTGCTCTTTATCTCTCCCTCTCCCTACCTATATCTATATATCTATATATTGTATGTAAGTTATATTTATATATATATATATATATTGAGTACATATCAAATCAAGCGTCATTCCATTCAGTGAGTACGCGACAAAAGTTATCTTACTTCGAGTGATCCCACCCTGACACATTATTCTGACATAGTTTCTGACAAAGTTTTGGAAGTATATGTATGGAATCTATTTTGACATTATTTCTGGCATTCTATCTGGCATCTAGTCTGACATTCTGTTTGACATACTTTATGGCATCTATTCTGACCTTATTTCTGGCATCTATTATGGCACTCTATTCGGCATCTATTCTGACATTCTATCTGACATTCTTTCTGGCAAATACTCTGACATTCTTGCAATCTATTTGGCATCTATTCTGACAGGCATCCTTACTGGCAGACGTTCCCAGGCGTGCTCCACAGCATCCTGCGCTTTCGATATGGCTCGGGTCCATTGGTGCCCACAGTCACGCCGAGATACGCCGGGCAGGCAGAGGAAGTAGACGACGACTTTATAAAAATCGAGAGACCCTCACTCACCGGGCAGGTGGGGGAAAAAGAAGAAACATTGTTTCGGACAGTGATGCCATTGATTTGTGATTTCCATGTTTTTTTTCACAAAGGAGTGGTGTTATCTTTCTCCAACGCAGCGAGGTGTGGATTTGCAGAACCTCTTGCGTTTGACGTTGCAAAGATTTGGCATCAAGACCAATCAGAGGATCCAGTCAGCCAAAGAGCAGCACGTCACTTTGCTCAACGAGCTCTGCTATGGGAAAGGCACTGCTTGGCATCACAACAAGTACTTTCCGGCAAGCTAACTATATAATTATGACATATATTATGACCATGCAAAGCAGCTCATCTATAGACAGATGATTCACCTAGAAAAAAAAGAAATGGAGGTTTCCAATCCATGGGGGTACCCCCCAAATCACCCAAAAAAGGGGGTCCGAGGCGCGCTGGGAAGGTGAGGTGGCCTACTTGGTGGACAAGTTACTTTGGCGAAACCAAACGGTTTGGCAGCATGGTTGGGAAGATAGTATTTACTACATGGGAATTACATGTTTGAAAGCAGGCAGTTGACAAGATTGGCTGTGTTTTTTGGGCCTTTCATATCATTGTCTATCTATATTGAAATGGTTTTATGCTCAGGATTTGTCAGTTTGAGTTGAGAACCCCATGCAAATAAGGCCCTGTACAGGGGAACTTGAGTTTTCTTCACCCTGGTGACCCAGTCATAAACCACTTCGATCATGGAATCATCCCGACGCAGTGGGCATATTTCACCATGGGGTGCTGGACAGTTGCCGCTGATGATCCGCTGATGTCATTGGAGAAGATGGCCAGCATACGACTTACCACCAAGGAATCAGAAAATTTGGTTTCGAAAAAAAAATGATCCCCCAATTAATCGATACAAGAACATTGAACATCAATGAACATCAATCAATGAACATCCTGATTTTTCAGTTGAAACTGGGGTTTTCTGTTGCCATCTTGGATGACAAGAGTGACCAGCTTCACAGATCCAGGGTCAAGCCAAGTAGCACAGGGCGGGGCCAGAGCCTCCGCAAGAATAAAGGCTATATAGCAGAAAAATGGGCGATGGGCCTTATGTCAACATATATATATGTATATATATATAGATGTGTATAATATACGTTTATATATTATATATACATTTCAAAACTAGTTGATGCACCTGGGGAATGATGATCCAAGGGGGTTGGGGCGACTTTATGAAAACTCAAGTACCATCAAAACACCAATTCTGTGGTTCCATGGGAACTGATGGGAACATCGTCCAACATTTCACTGAGGTGTTCGGACTTGCCATTTGGTAATTCAACATGTTCCTTGCCGCCGGAAAATCGGAACATCACACAAAGAGACTTCGATCCCATATAGTGTTTGACCAGAGGGTAAAACATGGTAAAACATGGTAAAACTGGATCGGAACTCCTTCGTTGTTTTTAACTTTGTGGGGGCAGACTTTCCAGGTTGCGCCGAGGGCAGGGTATGGCAGCCTTCTGGCAAGATCGCTATGATGGCTGGCTGTCGCAGATGGAGGGCCTGTACCTTGGAAGCTTAAGAGATGGATGACCAAAAATGCCTTTGCCAACCATAACGGGGACACACCCGGGACTTCATGGGGATATCATGGGGATATGATGACAAAGGGATCTAATGAGATAGGAACAGATAGGTTGGTTTTTCAATTAAACAATATCGACAGTCATTGTTTTGTGTGCGTGTGTGGCTCTTTGGGGGAGATTAACGGATGTGAAAGATATTTATTCAGGGAGTCATGAATAGTATACTGTACCAAGCTATCCAAGTTGGAGAGTAAGCAATCGAAATGTTGATATAACCAGGACATCATCGGTCAACAGACTGTGAATGGTTGGTGTACAGGTTTCTTTCGCGCTGCAAAGAGGAAGCACACTATATATAAATTATAATAATCACGACATCTATAAGAATGATGACAAAACGCAGGCGCACGATTATATTGTTACTTTTGGGCGGTGTATTTTTAGGTGTATCACACTGCCCCGCAAAAGGCCTCTGATGAGTCACCCAAAGCGAGGTTTGGTCAGTCCGTGTTCGATGCCTTTGTCCACGCGGATCGGACATCGGATCGGGAACAATGGTCCCAGCGACGCTTGAGCGATGAACGTGGATCTTTAACATTCTTTAACGCTTGGGTTGGCGAAAAATAGTGTCTGTTCTAATAATTTGTTCATTGAAAACTGCCGGTTAGATTGTGCTGTATAGTAGGATGTCTGGTCAAGACAGAAACACTCACACTCATTCAGGAAGCAAGTAGAATCAAAGGGAGAGCAGATTATATGTGCACCAATCACTATTACCATGCTACTGGTCTGCAGTTCAAAAGGAATACCCTTTGGTAAACTAACATAGCTATGGAAAATCACCATCTTTAACAGGTATATCAACTAATTATAAATTTTGCAATTTTCAATAGCTTTTTGTATGTTTACCAGAGAAAAATCATTTATGAATGCGAGGATTTTCCAGCAAGCCATGTTTGATGGTGGGTACAGGTGAATGTCAAAACCGGACAAATGACCAAATCAAACGTTTTTAAGTCATGTTGAACAGAAAAATCTCAGTGAGTTTGGATGCGCAAATCCACAGGTCTGATGGAAGCTCTGCACGAAGCTTTCGATCGGATGAGGGAAGAAACTCCGAGTCTCGCTGTGGACGTCACTTGAACATGGGAGAAGTTGCCAGTTGTTGGGCACTTAAGGGAGCACATCCCAGTTAGTAAAAGGTTTATAATTTATAACCCAGATATCATCTAGGAATCCATAAAATTGGTGATATTCCCATGTTATATTATAATATAATATAATATAATATATAATTTAATATATAATATATATATAACTGGCATGTACTAGGATTGTATTCGCACTAGGAAGTGGGATATCCTGGATATAATGATTGGGCAATATTGGAATGGGCTCAAACTTACGGATGATTTTCCCATAAAGTTTGGGTGGATGAAAATCCATGCGTCGTTTGCCAGCTTATTTGTATGTTTTTGTTTTTAGTTTTTTCACCAAAATATATTAGATATTCATTGTGATTTTGAGAAACCAATCAAAGGCTCTTTATGATCCCTCCAAGTAATGTAGACCATATACCAAATGCGGCTTGGAAAGCTAGTTTTGTGTTGGGATGGGTCCCGCCGTCTGTAGTTGTAGGATGGGAATCATTCTCACTGCAAAAAAGGGGCCACGAAATAAGGGAACCCCTCCTGATGGATTGCAATCTCCCACGTATGAATCCTGCTTTGACATGAGCCCCACCACAAAATATCATTTTTTTTTCTGGATTTGTGATAGATTTGCTAAGTAGCCTGCTGCATATCCCAAAGTATGCCAGTGAAATGTGGTTTGACATTATACGGGTTGGAAATATAACTCTCTCTCTCTCTCTCTATAAAGATAGACATATACACACACATATACATTTCGTAACGCAAGAGCACTAACATGCATGACTATCAAACAATGTAGCTACCTGATATATCCTTTCATCCATCTACCTATCACATTTCAATCTATATATATATATACATATGTGTTAATATATATGTATATACATATACATCATATGTGTATATATATATATATATATATTTACATGTGTGTGTATCATATGTATATACATATATATATATGTATAACCTCGTATGCACGTATCAAACTACAAATAATTTTAAACAAAAAAAGAGCCCAAATATCCGACGTTCATCCTGAGGTGAGTCGCCACATCGAAGCGCCCGAGGACTCCACAGTCTCTACGGAGCACACCTGGCGCAGCGGCACGGTGAGTTTGGGCGACGCTCACCTGGCCAAACTCATGCGTCTTGGGCCCATGGCTTGGTGGGCGAAGCTGTTGGCCATACGTTTTTTTTTTTAGTCGTGTGGTTGAAAAACGCGTAATTGTAGAATTAACAAATAAATATAATAATATGAACATGTCAATATATGTCAATAACTTTATGAACATATGCATGTGGATTTTCAAACAAAATGAAAGAGGTGTTTTTTTTTCAGTTCTTAAAGATCATGAAGCTAGTAATGTGGCAAACGCAGTGCCATAAACCATCCCCTATTTTTGTTTATGAAATTGGCTATACCACTATTTAGGATGAGCTTAATATGATTTTCAAACGGTTGGCTATTTGATTACTGGGATGTTTATTATTGGGCAAACCCCATGGAAGTATAGTGATTTTATCACCATAAACCATATGAATCATACCAACGTAGCGGTTCTGAACTGGGGAACCAACAATATCATCAATCCCAAAAAAGTCTTCCCATTAAAATCAATTTTCCTGGTGTATTTGGTGGTGTAAATCCCAGGAAATCACCATGAAATCAACATCAAGTTGTTGCTGAACTGTCCATTTTCCCCGCTGTACATGTCTCGTTTTGCGGAATTTGAACATCACTTTCAAGTATGTGTTGGAGGTTATATCATGTTATATCTCCTCCCCAATAGTTGGGTGATGTTCAATTATGACATTTACCCTCTGGTTATTCAACATAGCCATGGGAAATGGCCCATAGAAATAGATGGTTTACCGAACTTAATAGCATGGTGATTTTCCATGGCAAACTGTTAGTCATAACCAGAGGATACCAACCCCTGTTCCCTACCTGGTTGAAATCATGAAACAATCGCCATGGTCAAGGCAGAGACAGGCACCGACCATCGATGAACCGCGAGCCACGGAGTCGCCAGCGACGCGAGCCACGAAGACCACATTTACCACGTTGAAGGTGAGGTAATGAACGTAATGAATCGATATGAATGGTGTATTCATGGTATTGGTATGGTTAATGGATTATAAACAGGCATGGCTTATATAGAGGTTGAATCTATAGTTGCTTGATGTTGATTGACTGCGCGATGTATACATATGCATATGCAAATTCATATACGTAGACATATACATGTATGTATACATATATATATATTATGTATATATGTATTGATATTTACATATTAATATTTACGTTTACATACATATTAATCCGGATGAATTTGACCATGACCTCACTGTCCTGTCACAGGAATGATGGTTAGGATTGCGCACAATCATCCCATTTCAGGTCAGTGAATTGTTAGAATTTACCCAAACATCATACCATTGATATACTGGTTGGTGGTTTGGAACATTTTTTCCCCACCTGCCAGGTGAGGGTTGTTAGATTTTATCAGAGTTGTTCTTCTCCTGCTGGCTGTCCTCCACTGCCTCCTCCTCCTCCGCCTTCTCCTCGTCCTCCTCCTCCTTCTCCTCATCCTCCGCCTCCTCCTCCAGTTTCTCCTCCACCACCTCTGCCTCCACTTCCATGTCCACTTCCGCCTTGCCAACTCTTCGCCAAGCTCTTTGCCAACTTCCCAGCTCAGTGGGCACCGCTGGACCTCAACCTGCGAGCTGCCCAGCTCAGTGTGCACCGCTGGACCTCAACCTGGGAGCTGCCCAGCTCAGTGTGCACCGCTGGACCTCAACCGGGACCTGCCCACCTCAGTGTGCACCGCTGGACCTCAACCGGGGACCTTCCCAGCTCAGTGTGCACCGCTGGACCTCAACCTGGGACCTGCCCAGCTCAGTGTGCACCGCTGGACCTCAACGGCCAGATAGAATGCCAGAAGATATGCCAGATAGAATGCCAGAAGATATGCCAGATAGAATGCACGAAGATATGCCAGATAGAATGCCAGAAGATATGCCAGATAGAATGCCAGAAGGTATGCCAGATAGAATGCCAGATAAAATGTCAGATAGAATGCCAGAAGATATGCCAGAAAAAGTGCCAGAATGTTTGCCAGATAGAATGCCAGAAGATTGGCCAGATGATACGCCAGAAAAGATGCCAGATAGAATGCCAGATAGAATGCCAGAAGATATGCCAGAACATATGCCAGAAGATATGCCAGAAGATATGCCAGATAGAATGCCAGAAGATATGTCAGATAGAACGCCAGATAGAATGCCAGATAGAGTGCCAGAAGATATGCCAGAACATATTGCAGAAGATATGCCAGATAGAGTGCCAGAAGATATGCCAGAACATATTGCAGAAGATATGCCAGATAGAGTGCCAGAAGATATGCCAGAACATATTGCAGAAGATATGCCAGGTAGAATGCCAGAAGATATGCCAGAAGATATGCCAGATAGAACGCCAGAAGATATGCCAGGACATATGCCAAAAGATTTGCCTGGTAGAATGCCAGAAGATATGCCAGAAGATATGCCAGATAGAGTGCCAGAAGATATGCCAGAACATATTGCAGAAGATATGCCAGGTAGAATGCCAGAAGATATGCAAAGATATGCATAATAGAATGCCAGAAGGTATGCCAGATAAAGTGGCCTGAATGTTTGCCAGATAGAATGCCAGAAATTTTCCAGATAGAATGCCAGATAGAATGTCAGAAGGTATGCCAGAAGATATGCCAGATAGAGTGCCAGAAGATATGCCAGAACATATGCCAGAAGATATGCCAGGTAGAATGCCAGAAGATACGCCAGATAGAATGCCAGAAGATATGCCCGAACATATGCCAGAAGATATGCCAGGTAGAATGCCAGAAGATATGCCAGATAGAATGCCAGAAGATATGCCAGAAGATATGCCAGATAGAATGCCAGATAAAAATGAGAATGCCACAAGATATGCCAGATAAGTGCCTGAATGGTTGTTGCCAGAATAGAATGCCAGAAGATTTGCCAGATAGAATGCTAGAAGGATGCCAGAATAAAGTGCCAGATGTTGCCCATAGAATGCCAGAAATTTGCCAATAAGAATGCCCAGATAGAATACCAGAAGATATGCCAGATAGAGTGTTAGAAGATATGTCAGATAGAATGCCAGAAGATATGCCAGAACATATTGCAGAAGATATGCCAGGTAGAATGCCAGAAGATATGCCAGAATATATGCCAGATAGAATGCCAGAAGATATGCTAGATAAAATGCCAGAAGATATGTCAGATAGAATGCCAGAATATTTGCCAGTAGCAAAACGTATAAATGTCATGGTGGGGACAACTCGAAGTAAAGTAATTATTTTTTCATAACATATGGGATAATCCTTCCCACTGACTTTCATATTTTTCAGAGGGGTATGTATACCACCAACCAGTATAAATGGGATCTATAATTCATCTAAATAAACAACAATCGTATGGGAAGACAATGGCATTATGGTCATCTAGAGGGACATAATTCAATGGATTGGTTTAGGGGAAAATTTACAGGAAAACCCACTATTTAATGGTAAAAAAACAATGGTCTCCTGCACATTTTCCCTTAAACCAATCCATTGAATAATGGAATCTAATGGGGAATTATGGGAATCTTTGCCTTCCGCTAACCAGCTCCATGGCTGGGGCATCCCCAAACAGACGGTTTTTTTTCAGCTGGGATTGTCCAGCCATGGAGCTGGTGATCGGAGGATGTGAACGGCAAAACCTGACACAAATTCATGTTTTCAATGTTTGTAATGATCATTAAGACAGTTGGAATGATTAAAGTTCTTTTTTGTTAATGATGTTTGAGCTCCACAAGTTGAAGATGTTCTTTCCCTTCGTAGCAACATGGAACATCCACAATGATCCATCTTGCCTTGGTGAATCTTGGTGGATGTGGTAGGGATGCCTTAATGGTGCCGCGGAAGTGGCTGTGTGGTCAATTTGGCATGCCCCCTTTTTTTGTTTGGCTGGTGGCTTTCATACATGCCTTAAGATGTCTTAAACTGTTTCAACATGTTTTAATAAGTGGTTTGTAAGCTCCTAGTGATAGCATGTATGCATAAGAACCCTACAGCAATATGAACCTTTGATAAAGGTTGACACTTGCAAATACTTGCAATGCATGAATCATGGTACCATTTGTTTCCGCTGACAGCAAGTGAGTGCCAACACCGTAGTCTCCGATGCGAATGTGCTGGGCGGGCTGTTGGGGCAAACCCTTTGAGAAGCCCCAGCCAAAAAACAGTCCCTAACATATTTCAAGAACTGACCTGATTGGGGTTATAAAATGTTATAAACATATCACCTACTCAATGATTTGGAATTATCAAAGGAAGTTTAGGGGGAGAAACTTCCGTGTTACGGACTTTTAGAATGTCCGGGAAAGAGTTAGTCAAAGAAAGAGTTAGTCAAAGAAACAGTTAGTCAGGGAAAGAGTTAGGTAGTCAAAGAAAGAGTTAGTCAGGGAAAATGTCAGGGAAAGAGTTAGTCAAAGAAAGAGTTAGCAAAGAAAGAGTTCGTCAGGGAAAGAGTTAGTGAGGGAAAGAGTTAGTCAGGGAAAGAGTTAGTCAAAGAAACAGTTAGTCAGGGAAAGAGTTAGTCAAAGAAAGAGTTAGTCAGGGAAAAAGTTAGTCAAAGAAAGAGATAGTGAGGGAAAGAGTTAGTCAAAGAAAGAGTTAGCAAAGAAAGAGTTAGTCAGGGAAAGAGTTAGTCAAAGAACGAGTTAGTGAGGGAAAGAGTTAGTCAAAGAAAGAGTTAGCAAAGAAACAGTTAGTCAGGGAAAGAGTTAGTCAAAGAAAGAGTTAGTCAGGGAAAGAGTTAGTCAAAGAAAGAGTTAGTGAGGGAAAGAGTTAGTCAAAGAAAGAGTTCGTCAAAGAAAGAGTTAGTGAGGGAAAGAGTTAGTCAAAGAAAGAGTTAGCAAAGAAACAGTTAGTCAGGGAAAGAGTTAGTCAAAGAAAGAGTTAGTGAGGGAAAGAGTTAGTCAAAGAAAGAGTTAGCAAAGAAACAAGTTAGTCAGGGAAAGAGTAGTCAAAGAAAGAGTTAGTGAGGGAAAGAGTTAGCAAAGAAACTGTTCCCTCACTGTAAATGGGATTGCAAGTGGTGCTGGTGGAGGAGTTGCCGATGGAGTTTTGGAGGAAGTCTCGCACGAAATGCGTTTTTGAGAGATAGCAGATGCACGAAAGCCTATGTTTTTCCATACAAAGTCCGTCCCCGAACCTCGATGATCTACCTCTGCGGTGCGACGGGTGCGAGCCGGTCTCGTGTGTGTGGTCGGATCATGGTCGGATCGGTCTCGGATCATGGTCGGATCATGCTCGGATCGGTTCCGCATTGTAAATGGGGTTTCAACTGTTTTTCGTGCATGTGCGGTCGACAGAATTCCATTGTGATTTGCAACTGTAGGATCGTTCCCGCAATGTAGATGGAATTGCAAGTGGTGCTGGTGGATGAGTTGCAGATGGAATTCCATTGTGATTTGCAACTGTGGGATCGTTCCCGCAATGCAAATGGCATTGCAAGTGGTGCTGGTGGAGGAGTTGCCGATGGAATTCCATTGTGCTTTGCAACTGTAGGATCGTTCCCGCAATGTCTAGAAGGTTTCACATGCTTCGGTGGACGAGCTGAGGACGTAATACCATTGTAATGGCTGCGTGAACTTGCTGCAGCTGGATTCTTTCAGATTTTGCCTGCTTTCATTTTCTATTTCAATTCTTTATAAAAAACGCTTCAAAAATCAACTTTAGAAAGAGTTAGCAAAGAAACAGTTAGTCAGGGAAAGAGTTAGTCAAAGAAAGAGTTAGTGAGGGAAAGAGTTAGTCACAGAAAGAGTTAGCAAAGAAAGAGTTCGTCAGGGAAAGAGTTAGTCAAAGAAAGAGTTATAGTCAAAGAAACAGTTAGTCAGGGAAAGAGTTAGTCAAAGAAAGAGTTAGTGAGGGAAAGAGTTAGTCAAAGAAAGAGTTAGCAAAGAAAGAGTTAGTCAGGGAAAGAGTTAGTCAAAGAAAGAGTTAGTGAGGGAAAGAGTTAGTCAAAGAAAGAGTTAGCAAAGAAACAAGTTAGTCAGGGAAAGAGTTAGTCAAAGAAAGAGTTAGTGTGGGAAAGAGTTAGCAAAGAAACTGTTCCCTCACTGTAAATGGGATTGCAAGTGGTGCTGGTGGAGGAGTTGCCGATGGATTTTTGGAGGAAGTCTCGCACGAAATGCGTTTTTGAGAGATAGCAGATGCACGAAAGCCTATGTTTTTCCATACAAAATCCGTCCCCGAACCTCGATGATCTACCTCTGCGGTGCGACGGTTGCGAGACGGTCTCGTGTGTGGTCGGATCATGGTCGGATATTCTCGGATCATGGTCGGATCATGCTCGGATCGGTTCCGCATTGTAAATGGGGTTTCAACTGTTTTTCGTGCATGTGCGGTCGACAGAATTCCATTGTGATTTGCAACTGTAGGATCGTTCCCGCAATGTAGATGGAATTGCAAGTGGTGCTGGTGGATGAGTTGCAGATGGAATTCCATTGTGATTTGCAGCTGTAGGATCGTTCCCGCAATGCAAATGGCATTGCAAGTGGTGCTGGTGGAGGAGTTGCCGATGGAATTCCATTGTGCTTTGCAACTGTAGGATCGTTCCCGCAATGTCTAGAAGGTTTCACATGCTTCGGTGGAACGAGCTGAGGACGTAATACCATTGTGTTTTGCTAGGGATTGTTGCTAATCGCATTGTAATGGCTGCGTGAACTTGCTGCAGCTGGATTCTTTCAGATTTTGCCTGCTTTCATTTTCTATTTCAATTCTTTATAAAAAACGCTTCAAAAATCAACTTTTTCTGCTCTGGCGTCGAGTCCGGTTTTGGAGCTACAATTTCCGACGCCGTTGCGCGTAGTTCTATTGTGTTTTGCAACTCAGTCTCTGCAGATCGCATTGTAATGGCTGCGTCAAGGTTGCTTCCTGCTGTGGCTGCATTCGTAATACTATTGTCTTTTGCAGCTGGACTTCGTAAATCGTATTGGAGTGGCTGCATGAGGGCTGCCACAGTGATTTGTCAGCAGATTTTCTCTATTTTGGCGTCAGTGATTTTCCTTCTAAAAATATTTTTAAAAAGTGCTTCAAAATCGTCTTGCACAACAACAGTACGTGGTTGGACGACAAAGAGTCGGACGACGAAGTTCTCCGCAGACAATACCGTCATCTCTGGGAAGCTGTGCGGTCCTTTCAACCAGAGTTTGTTGATGCTGAGATGAAGCGCAGACAAGGTCTTGCCGCAGAGGTTTCAACTCTCGTTTGACTGCCGAGGGCTGGGTGTGCGTTGTTATGAACCGCATCCGGGTGTGAATTGCTGTGCTTCAGTAGCTTCGCCTTTCATTTGACCTTGCGAACCGCAGAATGCCTCTGTCACTTCGTTTTGGTTTCTGTGTGCGTTGTTACGAACCGCACAAAAAACCATGATCGTATTGCATACATGTGAAAAAAACATGCTGTCGTGGGAGCGGGTAAATGCAAGGTCTCACTAAGATCCGCTCAATGCTTTATGCAGCATGGGTTGGATTTTTGTAGTTTGTTGAAAGTATGATTTTCTGGACCATTTCCTTTTTCAGACATCAGACCTCAAGCTGGGTGAGATGGTATGTTTCGTGTTTATTTGACCTCTGTTGAATGAGATGGTTGGTTGGGGATCTACAATTTGGATGAGGAAGTGCGTTTCGTATTTCTTGGACCCTAGTTGGTACGTGTAATTGTTTCTTTACTTCGACTATGGGGAATTTCGATCTGTTATATTCACCCTATGATGTTGTCTGGTAGCGGTTGTGTAGTTTCAGCTCTGCAACGTTGCCGCTGCCGTTTGTGTCGGTCATGCATATGTGATCAAATCTATCAGCAAGACCTAAATCATATTATGTCATGTTTTGAATCATCACATGTTTTTTTTTAACGCATGCATCATGGAGTTTGCAAGGGACACCCGACGTGCGACGTTACGGTCCGCGTTGGCTAACATATGTGTAGCAGCATGTTGGATATAGGTGGAAAAATAATTTTCATAAGTATTGTTGAGTGATTACATCGATTCGGTGAGAAAACGATCATATATAGCAAGCATGCAACGTAGCTATCATATATAGCAGATACACGATGTCAACAAACAGCACGCATGGACACGATACAACCTTGCAACTGCGTATACTCGCAACGCGTACGTGCGACGTTCTGGTCCGCGCAAAGGTGCTTACGTGCGACGCTGTGGTCCGCGTAGGCTAGCGCCATGGAATCGTCGCTGTTCGAAGACCTTCTTTGTTTCTTGCAGAAAGAAGAGCTTGTGTTGAAGGCTTTGCGTGCCACGAATTTGAAAGCATGCTTGCGGACAGGGACAGGCACCAAAGGATACGAAGCAAATGCAGAGCGAGCCAAGTATTATAGAATTTACAATGAGATTGAGAAGTCAGTAACGGCTGACCAAAAAGCTACTCTAATGGATTGGGAACGAAGGCTTTGCAGTGAGGCGGAGGACATTGATTTTGCACGGTTGCTTGCCATATTTGCAAGCCGTGAAGAGGAGCTGAAGCAAATGAGAAAACCGAGCCTCGAAGCATGCTTCAACAGCAACCTGAGCAATGCAGACAAAGACTTAAAGTTTTGCCGAAATTTCTTCAAACGCAAAAAAAGTATGACAGATGAACAGCAAAAGGTTGTGGATGAATGTGAGGAGAAGATTTGTGGCGATGGTGCGGGGTTATGTCCTGCCATCGATGCAGATTTCACGCGTTTGCTGACTATACTGGAAAACCGCGAAGATGACTTGCGACAAATGCGAAAAAACAAGTCTCGAAGCATGCTTCAACAGCAACCTGAGCAATGCAGACAAAGACTTAAACTTTTGCCGAAATTTCTTCACACGCAAAAAAAAAGTATGACAGATGAACAGCAAAAGGTTGTGGATGAATGGGAGGAGAAGATTTGTGGCGATGGTGCGGGGTTATGTCCTGCCATCGATGCAGATTTCACGCGTTTGCTGACTATACTGGAAAACCGCGAAGATGACTTGCGACAAATGCGAAAAACAAGTCTCGAAGCATGCTTCAACAGCAATCTGAGCAATACAGACAAGGACTTAAAGTTCTGCCGAAATTTCTTGAAGCGCAAAAACACAAGTATGACAGATGAACAGCAAAAGGTTGTGGATGAATGGGAGGAGAAGATTTGTGGCGATGGTGCGGGGTTATGTCCTGCCATCGAGGCAGATTTCGCACGTTTGCTTACTATACTGGAAAACCGTGAAGATGACTTGCGACAAATGCAAAAAACAAGTCTCGAAGCATGTTTGAACAGCAGCCTGAGCAATACAGACAAGGACTTGAGTTTTTGCCGAAATTTCTTGAGGCGCAAAAAAATAAATATGACAGATGAACAGCAAAAGGTTGTGGATGAATGGGAGGAGAAGATTTGTGGCGATGGTGCGGGGTTATGTCCTGCCATCGATGCAGATTTCACGCGTTTGCTTACTATACTGGAAAACCGTGAAGATGACTTGCGACAAATGCGAAAAACAAGTCTCGAAGCATGTTTCCAGACACGTGTCAGCAATGCAGACAATGATCTTGGTTTTGGACGGAACTTTTTCCGCCGGCGGAAATATATGTTGACGGATGAGCAGCACAAGGTTCTTGAGGACTGGTCTGCCAAGATTTGTTGCCATGAGCATGTTGATGATGGCTTTCGGCGCTTTCTTTCAACTTTGCATGCTCGAGCACAGGAGCTGTCTGCCTTGCGCAAATGTGACCTGAAAGGCATCTTTTCGTCCCATATTTGCAAAAAAGATTCGGAGTTGAAATTTTGTCAAAACTTTTGGCGGCGCAACGCAGAAAAATTTAGTCCCGAGCAAAAGGAACAAGTGGAGGATTTGAAAGCAGGAATTCTTTGGCCTCATGCGCAAGACGATCGTGCGGCGTTGCGGCCCGCGGTTGTGAGGATGTTGGACAAATTTGAAAACATACTTGCACGCAGAGGCGCAGATTTTCGCGGCTTTGGGGCTGCAAGTGTTTATGGTCTGTTTACCGGGCACGCGAAGAAATCTGATTCTGAGGTTAGATTTTGTTACGATTTTATATCATCATTTAGAAGTGTGAGGTTTGGAGTGTGAAGGAAGCAGTGGGAAGTGAGAAGTGTGAAGTGCGAAGTGTGAAGTGTGAAGTTTGGAGTGTGAAGTTTCAAGTTCGGAGTGCGAAGAGTGCAGTGTGAAGTGTGGAGTGTGAAGACTTTGCTTCGTCTCTCGCTGAAAAAATCAAACGGTTGTCGAGGGAAGGACGCGGTCGGGACAGGGTGTCTTTGAACTATAGGTCATTTGTGTTTGGGAAACTTCCGCCGCCGGCTTGCCCGGGTCTATGTTAATTATATAGAGTTCCCTCAGATGGGCCCAAACATGTCTCCATCACTAAACCAGCGCTTGGGGGTCGTACTTCATATTCTGTCAAATCCTTGGATGGGTAATAAGTGAATCGTATAAAGCGTCTCCCGTAGAACATCCCTATAGAATATCATGAAAAAATCTGATCAGCTAAAGAATTCATGCGTTCAAAGAGTGCAGGGTACCAGGGTACCTAAGACGATATAGCCGAAAGATGCCGAGAGAATATGGCCACCCCATCAAGCATCCATGAATCCTGATACCCTCTGGTAATTTAACATAGCTATTGAAAATGGCCATTTATAGTGGATTTACCCATTAAAAATGGTGATTTTCCATAGTTATGTTAGTTTACCAGAGGGTACAACATCCGCAACAATCCCTGGCCAGGGCAGGGCTTCCGTGCTGCAGCACAACCTGCCAGCGCCCGAAGCAGAGCTGGTGCGGCCGCCGCCCATTCCGCCGCGACCCATGCGGCAGCCAGGCGGTGACCGTCCGGTCTTTCGCCATCAACCATGGGTTTTTGGTGGTCTTATAGGTTACCCTCTGGTAAATAAACATAAACCCTGAAAATCACCAATTTTTAATGGAAACTAGTCTTCCAACCCCTATCTGCCAGGGTCTATGTTAATTTACCAGAGGGTAATTTATGTAACAATTAACAAATCAATGGTAATTTCAGGATCCTCCAATTTAGGTTTCTGAAATGGCCATTGAACAAAAGATTTATAGATAACCTGCATCCCATGGATGTTGGAAAACCTGAATCACCTGACTTTCCAAAGTGAAGTCCCGAAGGTGTCTCCAGTGCTGCCTTGCGTTTGCCGGATGCTTGGCAAGTTGGGCATGGGTCAACTCCTTAGCCGAAACCCCCAAAATTGGTTGGTTACCAACACATGTTGTTGGTTTTGTTGATCTATTTTGCGTTATACACGTGGTAATTACATATCAAGTAAGTAATTACAAGATCAAGTGAGCACTACATAACTGATATAGATTTGTATTACAATGGTAAAGCCACATTGGGGCATTCTTTGCTTTATTTTGTGATACAACCCCCACGTGGCTTACCGAATTTGCCACAAAAAAAGCTGCCTGGGCTCCGGGATGATCCTGAGTGCTTCATTTGTGCCCAGAAAATGCCCATCATCCTGCAGCCTGAAGATGAAGTTGACTTGCCTGAAACTCACAGCAAGAGCAGTGCCATCAGCGTCTTCACGTCGCGGCAACTCCCATCCTGGTTGCCCCTTGGTGGAAAAGGGAGTAGAGCCTTGGGTGAGAAGGCAAAATCTGATGTATGTAGGATGACTGAAAGTACTTTAATATGTTTCAATGCAATCAATGTGTTTTCTTATGAATTTATCACTTCAATCATTCAAATCGATTGAAATCTACCTTAGCTGAAACAACTATGGAACTGGGCACCTGCCATTTTCACAAAAAAAAACATGAAACATGAGTCCGCTTCGGTGCGTGTGCATCCTACTTCAAATGGAAAGCAAAGAACCTAATTCCGGAAAGAGTGGTTTGTTGTTTTTTTGTTTGAACATAAGTGTCCTAGACTTATGGACTATGCATGGATTAAATGTAATAACTGAATATAAACATAAGTGTCCTTACATAAGTGTAATTAAAAACATATATTATTGTGACATCATCTTGTGTATGTGTGGGAGATTTTTTATAGCTGCGCCGGTGCCCACCGGTGTCGCAATTAGGACGTCCAAGGGACGCGGAGCTCAATCGAAACTTGACTTGGACCTTGAGGTGCGCTGAGCGGCTGGCTTAGCCGCTTAGCCTTGGGTAAACTGTCCAAGAAACGGTGGAAAATCAACTATTTTTAAAGGGTAAATGACAATTTTTAACGGGTAAATCAACTATTTTTATGGGTCATTTTCACTAGCAAATTGTAGCAAATTACCAGGAGGGTAGGGAATGTTCCCCTCGAGAATGGAGAGCCAAGTCGGACTTGGAACTGAAGAGATGCGGGTTGGGTCAGAAAAATGGTTCGGATTCTGTTGCGTTTCTAAGTTTGAAGTGTGATAGACTGTATAGACTGTAGATACTGGATAGGTAGTACAAGTGGTAAATTGTGCGAAGTCTTCAATATGTACAGTTTTGATTGAAGTGTTATACCAGAGATTACCAGATATGGGTACTGTGGCAAGCTCAAGACCCTAAAACCGATTCCAATGACTTATCACAAATGGGTGATAGAAGCCCATCACCGATTCGCGGGTTTATGAGATCTAGGTTTGCTACATCTCACAAGGGGGTGCCCCCAGTTGGTTTGTACAGTGTAAATCTGTCTAACGATAGAGATATCTTGGTGAGTCAACTATGGAATATACATCGGTTCACTATGGTTTATAACTTTATAGGCCAATACTTAGCCAAATTGTAAGTTGTTTTCATAAACCATAGCTAAGCAGTTGTAAACCGACTTGGAAAACTACAGAGCCAACTTATTCATATTAAACTATACATTATTATATTATACCATATAGATTTACCTTTGAATGTGTTACCATTTGTATTATCTCGTATTATCTCTAGGTATTTATTTTAATCATCCCAAATGGGGGCATCCTGAGTAGTTAACTTCAGTAAACCTCTATAATTGGCTTTTGCCACATTGATCGTAATTATTTCCAGGTATTCACCATGATATATCATGATATGTCCTTAGCATATTCTATACCGTATTATTTTTCAGGTGTCGTTTCGGACAATTCGTCGCCAAACCGGCCCGTCGCCAGCTGGACTCGGACGAAATCTCGGAGTTGGAGAAGAACCATGTCAACCTCAAGCGACGTAGGACGCCGCGCAAACCTGGGACTGTCAGTTGACGTTGGTGCCCAGCTGGTACCCCAACTGGATAGTTGGCTAATGGATATTTATTCCCCCATGGTAAGACATGGGTTTGACCCATCCCCAGATAAAATCAACGTCATTTAGCATATGCTTAGCTAAGAAAATGGAGAGAGAGAGAGAGAGTAAGAAAAAGTGGGACGTTTGTTTACTGAAGAGCATTACAGGGACAAATTAGAAGACACATGGGGCATAGCAAAATAAACAACAACAAGGGGTAAAAGTTGAAAGTACAAAAACCATGGATCCAAACCCCTCACAGCCAAACATTGCCAATGGTTTCAACCTACCTTTTCTTGGTGCCCAAGAGTTTGGTGTATACAACCCAAAGGAATCATCTACATATATATATATAATATGTGTGTATTTATTTATGTTTTTTTGGTTAAAGTTTATTTTTTTTATTTAATATATTTACATATATATGTTTTTATATATATATACGTGTGACTGCGTTGGTGATGAATGAGATTCCATTACGGAAATTGATGGGGTTAGGGAATGGGAGTCATCTCGGGGCGGTTTCATTGCAGCTTCAAATAGACCTCCATCCCAAACAACCACTGAAACACCATATCCATCCATATCCCATTGTAAGTATCCATGATATCTCATAAGACCCCATTTCATGACATTGTCATACCACATTATATATATATACATATTCATACATATACATAAGCACACACACATACATATATATATATACAATTATCTACATACGTTTTTTTTTGTTTCGGTACACACATTTGTAATTATATAAGTATACGTAATAAACATATTATGAGAAACATATTATGAAATAGATAGGTCGATTAGATTAGATTAGATCAGATTAGATTTGATTTGATTAGATTATATAGATTAGATTGATTGATAGATAGATACTGTGTATATATATATATACACATTGTTTGAATCATGTACATATATGTATATATATATATAGCCATCTGACACCTGGGCGTCAGGACTGTGCAGCCGTGGTTGGAGTCTGTGGATTGGCAACTTGGCGCTGGGATGTTGGGATGGGTCCGGTATGGGTCGCCCAGGCTGCGTCTGGGGAGGTCAGCATCCGTGGCCCAGGGGGCTAACATAGTGAAAATCTACAGGAAACCATGGTTTTTACCATCAAATATAGGGGTTTCCGGTTTCAATTTTCCCATCATCCAATTCTATGATTTTATGGAACATGATTATCTATATGCGTGTCCTATCACTATAAAAAGATCAACATGATCATTTTTAGATGAGTTCATCTCTTCATAGCTATGTTCATTTACTGGAGAATGTGAACATTGGCAAACACCATTCCATATTTTTGGGTTTATAATGGTTTTTGTACTTGTATAGTTATCATTTTGTTTGCTGCACATCCAAGATAGTAGCCATGCCATTGCTGTGTTCAACAACTATTTTTGCTGTCCTTCAGTTTGTTGGCTGCAGTCGATGTCGAGTTTTGAACCTACAGGAGAATAGCACTGCACGACAAATTGGGGCAATTAATGGCAATTATCAAACATGTTGCCCAATTTGCCATGAATTGCCCCCAATTTGCCATGAATGGCAAGGCCATGGGAAATTAATGTGGTAACCATGGCCTTGCCCAATTTCCCATCTCACATATCTCACCTTACCAGGCGCGTTCGCGTGGTCTCCGGGGATCGTCCTAGGATCGAAGACGTGTCCTACCGAGCGGCTTTGAGGAATTTACAGAAGCAGTTCTACCGAGGCTGGGTGGTTTGATGGTTTATCATGAATCATATCTACCTTGGATTACTCTCCCGAAAACTAACGTTATACAAAAAAAGGGTTCCATGTTAGCGCACCCATGTTAAAATTCATGAGCGGGATAAGTGCCACGTAGGTGCCATGTTGGTGTTGGTATGTGCTGGTGGATTTTGATACCGGGCACTTTTTGGCTACTGGTCATATTAATATTAACATAGAGCCCCACAAGCTGCCATTTAGTGCTCAACCAACAGTTCCATGTTAGCATACACATGTAAGATATTTGTTCCATGTTAGCCATATCCCCAGACTTAAAAAAAAACAACAACTTTATATATATATATATATATAAAACAATAATATTCTGGCATTTTATCTGACATTTTCTCTGAGAAATATTCTGACATTCTAGTTGACATCTTCCGTAACATAAAAATATGCATAAACACATTGAAGCACATATGTTAAGTTAAAATCACATTGAAGCACATATTCAAATTTAAAATTACATTGAAGCACATATTCAAGTTAAAATCACATTGAAGCACATATTCAAGTTTTAAAATACACATAGTAAAGAGCTCATATAATATTATTTTTTTAGTTTGTAAAATGTTACACAAGTAGCTTTTCCCCATTTACCCACCATAAACGTGACTTTTTCATTTTCCCGTTGTTTCCCTCCCACTGTGTTATACCGTTGTGTTTCCCGTTGTGCCATCCTGGAACCCAACTCGGAACCCGTTGTGTGTCCCCGTGGCTTTGGCGCCCAGAGGTCCTCCCACCGTTGTGAAATGAGAAATGGTAAACCTTGAGAAACACCAAAAAATAAACGATACAGACGATGAAATTTTTATCGTCTGTATTTTTTTCTTTTGTATATGTGCATTTACTTGATTTTTCAAACATAATAACATTGTAGGTTTCTTTTGTATAACATTTAGTTGCATTTAGGCCGAGCCCCCCCGAAACAAACCAACCTGGACCCCAACTTGGAACTAAATGGGCACCCTTGGACCTTGTACTTATGGGGGTTTAGTTCACGAAGGTTATGTACATAACCCCAACTGCACCCCCAAAGTAACGAACCCCATTTGGATCCATTTGGGAGTTGCGCACCAGCATATGGAAAATTCACCATGTGCAGATAATTTCGCAGAAAACCCATGGATTTCCATAGCTATGTTATGCAGTGTTGCTTTACTGGAGGGGTTGAAAAAAAGTATGCCGGAATCACAGCGATTCCAAGCATGCTCCAACATGGGATATGGTACATCCATGTACATCCGATAAAGTCTTACAACCTGGCATACTGTAAAATCCCGCCTCCGAATTTATTTTTCTGAGTGTCCTCGTGAGAGTTAGGGATTTTCTATTGGCAAGTTAGGTTAGCAGGGAGCACATATTTGTTCTGTCCAAACGTATCAATGCATGTGCGTGGTGGTGCTGTTGGTATCAGAAAGATGTTCCCAGCTGACATATAAGGCTCCCAGGCGATATGCACTATTTGGTATCATTTGGTAGATGTGGTGACAAAGTGAACATCGCATGAAATCTATCACATAGCAGATTGCCTTGAACTCTGTCTGGAACATACCCAGCCCGCAATCTTGTTTTGTTTACAGGAGAGTAAGGGATGACAACTGATACCTTGATCCATCTTGATCCATCTTTTCAATCTGATCCCCACGAGGATGGATCTCAAAACTTCAGGAATGGATCCAGCAGAGGTGGGCCATTCCTCCCTGTCCAGGCAAGACTCAAGAGGAAGAGGCTTGGGGATTTCCGCGACTTGGCTGAAAGCATGCTCTGACGAAGAGGGCGGCAAGAATTTAAAAGTCCTTATAATCCCTGGCACCATTGTAGGGCACAAAACCATACAAAACCCATCAATATGGGAGTTGTTAAGTTGTTAACAATGAAAATTCCATGTTCGATCCTCATAGCATTGACAAAAAAAAATTGGTTGCTCCGCCAATTCACCTGGGATGAATCCACCGAGAGCCCCAGGCAAGCGGTTCAACATCACCGCCATGAACGGAAGAAAATCACCAACCCCAGCGCGTTGGATCGAGTGGTGGCTCGGATGCTTATCCTTAGCACCATTTGCCGGTCATTCAATGTTATTCAACATATAGACCCTGAAAACAATCATTTTTGCTTGTGAAAACACTTTGGAAACTATAACTAATCTTCCAGCCCCCTATTTGGCAGGGTCTAATGAAATGTTCATCAGCGGGTAACACGGAAGAGACACGGTAGGATCGACATTTACTTGTAGCTTAACCTGGGTAATCTTCATGATCTCTCGCATTCACATGTGATCTCTGGAATTTCCTTTGTGAATCGCCAAAACAAATCACCGCAAGCTGGGACCCAGGCTGAGAGGAACTTGAGCAAAAAGATGCACGGCTTTAAGCTCCAGGACGTGGGAGCGCTTGGACTGGAGTCCGGTGGTGAGGATGTACCCGGTACGGCATAGCTATGGATATGGACAATCTATGAACATATCCAGATGTTAATATATAGGTAAAATCAATAAAATCATCCATCAACGAGCATTTTCCATAGCTGCCATAGCTATGTTCGTTTACCGGAGGGGTGTGTTGACGTGAGATTCGTCATTTTCACATTTCTACTCCATTATTAGACCTACAGCTTCGCTGATACTGATGGAGCCCAAATTCCTGAGCTAAATCCACTGTTTCGTGTTGGTTGCTATGCCAGTTCTTGCCAGCGCAGCAGAGGTCTAAAGAGACTAGATTTATGCTGCTTAATGTTGCTTATATACTATCCCAATTCTGGGTTGAAACCTCGTTTTTGTATTTTTTTGGGGGTTTGGTGGGGAGCTATACCGATATGATTTTGCATGTTTTATTTAAACTTCAAACAGTTGGGTTGAGTTTGGGATGATTGAGATAACATCAGGTAACCATATCATCCTGGCATAATTACCTCACAAACCTATTTACACATAGGTGGTTTCTCTCTCTCTCTCTCGCTCTTTCTTCTCTCTCTTTCTATATTGCACATACATTTGCATATTTTAATGGGATTACATTGTACATTTTTATTTAAACTGATTTATACTTATCCATATTGCCATCAGGAGCCTCCCGATGTGGCGTCAATGGCGTCCCATCAATGGCCCGCCAGCCGACCCTGCAAGAGCTTGCGCCGCGGCCGGCCGCGCTCCAAGGTTTGGCTCATCTTGGATGATGATGGACGGTTTTTTCCTAATTTCACATGGCGTTTAAGGAATTTTAGTGATACATTACATTTTTTAAAAAAGTTTATTTTACCTTTAAAAAGTGATACATGCTTTTTTGGTGCAATTCCAATGGAATTCCACATGTTGTTCGCTATTTGAGTGATATTCGAAACATGTTTGATATTCCGAACATTTCCAAACATGCCAAATTAGACATTTCCAGACATTCCGGACATGATCTCAGACTGCTTGAGTTGAGAATTCTTAAAGCAAAAAGCACGGGTATGCGGGACAAAGTGATCAACAAATGGATGCAAAGTATAATCTCTGTTCGACGACAATGGGAACCTACAAGAAGAGATGGTTGAAATTTGTGCCACACCTCGAACCCTCTCGGCTAGTGCCATCACCCTAATTAATTTGCCATCTATGTGAGATTTCATGGAATGTTTGATGTTGACGTTGTGCCATCTATGTGAGATTTCATGGAATGTTTGATTTTTGACGTTATTTCATCGACGCATCGGAAAGACGAACTAGACTAGATTTTTGTGTGCAATGATAAGTTCGCAAGAGGGGTGAAACTACCATTTAGTGCAGGCGGAGAAAACAATGGTGACTTGGCGATATCGTGTGGGTGTCTTTGATTGCTGACTTGGATTAATTCTTTACAGTATTGCATGATTATGTTGTTTACGTTAAAGCTGATGATAACATTATTTTCCCAGCTTGTTCTTTACTGGGATGGTCATCCACGAGGACTTTCAGAAGCTTCTGCAGTTGACCAAGGAATGCATTGTGGCGAATCGGGGTGTGCATTTTCGCACCTCGGAGTTTCACTTAAGCTGTTGGACGGGGAAAAAGACCCCCGGTGAGACAAGATTTTTTTGGTACCACGGACTGTGAGAGTGGATGTTCATACATTTTTGCAGGCTAGTAGACTTTCACCAAGATTCATGCATATTCATTGACATTCAGAGTGACTTTGTCATCAGTGAGGTGGCTCACCTGATCATTTGCTGTACCAAGAGCCCTCTGTCGCGACATCTGGAACTGAAGTCACAGAGGTACCGGAGGCGCCTGTGGAACACGTCAGTGGCTCCTACACCTACTTGCATAAATCACAATTGTTGCTTGTTGAATCATCTCTAAAAGCAACATCTTACAACACCGTTCTTAGTAACATCATCATCTCTATACGTGATTTTTCTAAGTACACACATCAATAAAACACCATTTTGGTTGGTTTGAATCACCATGTTGCCTTCTTGGGGGTGCATCCCACTTGGTTAATGATTTTTTTTTTTTTAATATTCCCACTTAATCACATATATTATATGGGATGAAATATGGCTTGTATAATCCACTTACTCAATACTTAAGCCATATAGTAAAGGATAATCCCATGATATATATATATATAATGTAATGTATTGTAATGTAAATGTTAATGTTAATGTTAATGTTAATGTTAATGTTAATGTAATGTAATGTAATGTAATGTAATGTATATAGTATATAAATAATGAAATGTAATTATATATATATATGTATGTATGTATGGTATGGTATGGTACGCGCGCCATGTCTCCAGGGCTGCCTGGGCGACTTTCAGGGCGCCAGCGCGCTGCGGCGCCTGCGGCGCTTCCGGCGCAAAATGCTGGAGCGCTTCGCTGGGGCGGAGGAGGCGAGAATGACGGTGATCAATAGATGGGAATAATCTGGGTAATGGCCATTTATAGTGAGTTTTCCCATTAAAAATGGTGATTTTCCATAGCTATGTTAAATTACCAGAGGGTAACTGGATGGCTAGTGACATATCCTTTCTGGGTAAATTATAACGACCTCACTGCGACCTCACTATAGTCATATTTTTTTATAGGGAAATCATCCCGTTTTATGGCCGCACTATTCAGATTAGTGAATTATTATAATTTACCCAGAATAATCCCATACTAAGGTGACTAAGGTGACTAAGGTGACTAAGGTGATAATATTCCCCATACTAAGGTGCAAAATATTCCCGCTCAGGCTAATCTTCCCAAACTAAGGTGACTAAGGTGATTACCCTTTGGTAAGGCTAATATTAAGGGATGGAAATATGCAATGGGAATATGTTCATGGGATGTTGATAGAAGAGAAAAGTTCATTCATTGATGAACAGATGGACATGTGACTAGTATATATCAATAGATGCTTGCCTGGGCTGGGTAGTACACTTTGTAGCACTGGGAATTATATTAATATTAATATTGCCACTGTATATTCCATCTATTAACTATATTTATATTCATGGGATATTAATGAAATATACACGTTAATCAATACTGGAAATATGAATGGAATATTTATGGAATATTAATGGGTAACTGCAGGGATATTAAATGACATTGATAGATGGAAATTAACTCTGCATTAGTTTAACATAACTATGGAAGCCGTGGATCACTTTGTTCCATGATTTACCTCTGAAACATGATGATTTTCCATAACTATGTTAGTCATGTTTCTATACAACATTTGATGTGTGTTTTTGAAGTATGATGGCCGTTTAAAGTATAGTGATGATGATGATGATGATGATGCTGATGATGGTGGTGGTGGTGATGATGATGATGATGTTGCTGGTGATGATGATGATGATGATGATGAGGAGGAGGAGGAGGATGACAATGACGATGATGACGATGATGACGATGATGACGATGATGATGAGGATGAGGATTGTGATGGTGATGGTGATGGTGGTGGTGGTGATGATGATGATGATCATGATTATGTCTACGGTTATTACTGTTTATGTTTGTGTTTGGTGAGTATGTGTTTTTAATGATCAATCTTCTTATTGTTATGATGTTGCTTTGTTCTTAATAATGGCATCGGATAAGTTTGTGCAGACCGACTGTTGCTATGAATTGATTTTTGTGCGGATTTACATAGCGTGATTTTCAATTAGATCAAACCCATTAAAGTTCACAAGCACCAATGGGGATTTGACCTTAACCCGCCATTTTTTGAGAGCCAATCAATAGTGTGACCCTCCAAGCGCCCATAAAAATGATAACAAATCCCAAAACAATGGAACAATGGGTATAGTACTAATTTCTAGGTACCTGGAGGGTTTATGTAGATGGACAATTCCCAGGTTCATCAAATTTCGAAGGTGACTCGGAGTTGGAAAAAATATGGTATATAACGATAAACCAATGCACAAAGCTGCGCATTTCTGGGCACGGTAGCCCAAATGACACGATGACAACTTAAGATATGTTTTTTCCGCTCAAAAAATGGCTGTGAGCTCAGGACCAATCACACTGATTAAGCTCGACTTTTTGATTTTTCAACTCTCTGGTGGTGACCATTCTCGAAAAACAAAGGGGAGCTGGAGCCGCGAATATTCACTTTCCAAAGCACATGTTTTCACACCACAAGAGTGCAGAACTGCCAAGATATCCAAATAGATGTGAAAACCAGAGACCTTTGTTTGGCCTCATTTTTTTGGCGTGTTATTGCTTTTGGCGCCGCTTAGTAAGATCCTATGCCAAAAACGTCTCCCTGCGGGTCTCAGGCGTACAACTTTGTGGTGACCAACCCGAAGCTCGACAAAAGGGTGATGCGCGGATGTTCTAGCCAGGCTGTAGATAATTAGATACTTAGATAATAACTGATCATATTAGATAGAAAATGAATGAACATTACAGAAATATGTAGGACCAGGGCCTTTTAACTTTGGCTTCCTGCATTCCCGAATGTTGGCCATTCGTGGTTCCAGTGGCTTGGATGAGGATCGGGCTCTTGGACTATGACACTTTTGGTCAACTTGCGACGCAGATTAGCTTCACCTTGGACCACACCAGGTGGAAATGGATTGGTGATGGTGAATGGCTAATGATTGGTGATTGATGGTGATTGAGATGGAATTGAATAGGTACATGGGGGGGTTCTTGCCACTAGGATGGCGCTCATCTTAGTGACTCGTTGCAAGATCGTCTTCAAGGGCAGTGAGGCGATTTTCTAACATCACTTGCGCCGTGCCTCAAGCAATGTTGGCACCGTAAATGGTTTTTATACCCCATAGGATCCATGTATGCCATATATGGTAACATTTACCATCAATATACCCCAAATGTTAGCATATACCATACATGGATCCTATGGGTACTGGAACATGCTGGTTACGAAGATTCTCCTTTCGAAAGCAGATGTTTTTCCTCCGCAACGGTTGTCGGCACCTGATGATCTGATGGGCCTTTTTGGCGCACTGTCGGCTCTTGGTTCACCAGCTGAGGGGCCTTTCATGGGCCATGGGCAGTGCAGTTTTCCATAGTTTTCAGTGGGAATCCATGGATTGTGCTGCAAGGGTGACCGCAATGTCTTCAATATATGTCAATTTGATGTCAATATCATTTAAGTGCATCATGTCCCTCTCGTTTGAAGAAAAGCACGTTTTTTTTGGAGTGACGCCGAAAGAATTCGTCTGATTTCACTGTTTGTGTTGTACCCTGGGTATCTCCTCACGTTCTGATCCCAAGTTCATGATAACCAGCAAAGCACCAGCCAACCACCAACCTGCCATATACCGAAGACACGTCAGGATGGTCTGGGAAAGAATGTGGGAATTCCTGGGACGAGCTAATGAGGCCGGTGCTGATGAGAATTGGATTGAACCTCGACCCTCCAAATCCTTGGAAAATATATGAAAATATACTGTAGGTATTTTCGGAGATTGACCTGTATCGACTGATTTTACCCTAAACACCTAAACTACTCTGGTCTTCGATTTTTGGACTTTGATTGCCTGCTTTTGGGCTTGGCGAGAAAAATGCCAAAAAATGTTTGTAGCACCTCAAACGACTGAAACTAAAGAAACCCTGCAAAAAACACATCAAAAAGCATCAAAAATCCATCTCGCTGTTTTAGGTAGTTTGCGATAGTTTTTGGGGTTTCAACATTCCTCACGCTTTGTGTGCGTGAGCGTAGTGCTCAGATTTTCCCAGAAACATGCATGTTTGGAACAACATGAATCATTTGTTGGGTTGTTTGACCTATCTTCTTAGAACGACCATTTTTTCCTCGGCAGCGGAGGCTCGAGGAATGTACAAATATACATAACATATATATATATATCATTATATATCCATAAATATATACATTATATATTTACATATATCCAGGTTCCATGCTTGTGGATGATAGATCAACAGTTGAAGTTGACAGACTTCAACGGTGATTCACCGGCGCCGGAGGTGGCGGAGGGGCTGAGGAAGAATGAATTTGCGCATGTTATGAGCTGCTTGGAGGTTGAAACATGTGGGTCACCCTTTGGGAATTGCTGGTGCTCCCCAGTTATCCAAGTAGATTTTGGTGTCAGTTACGCATCTTTCTGTATAGCTATAGTAGGGTTACCGCCATCCAAGCGTTTTCGACTTGTCTAAACCACAAGTGGGAGCATTTCTGAATGCAACATTAAATTAGATCCGCCAGCTGGAGTACAACAGGGCAGATGGCCTGGCCTGGACTTGGAATTTTCGGACCCTGGGGATTTTGCAGATCATGTTAGCTCATTGTTCATTGTTTGGGATACTAATAATTTATGTGTATATATATATGATATATGATATATATATATATGTATGATATATGATATAATATATATATACATATTGTTGATGAATGTTATATTGAGACACTTTTTTAGACATGTACATCAGTGCCACGTTTCAGAGCTGGTCAATGACTACCAGCTCGGAATGTTTGAAATGTGTCATGTCCATTCGTTTACACATAGTGGCCTTCAGTAAATTAGCAAAGCGCTTGTATGGTTTGATGATTTACCCTCTGGTAATTTAACATAGCTATGGAAAATCACAATTTTTAATGGGAAAACTCACTATAAATGGCCATTTTCAATAGCTATGTTAGTTTACCAGAGTCCATAGGGTACCTATAAAGATGAGTGATGTTCCATAGCCAGTTGACCAATCTCCTTGGAGCAGAAGCCAAGGCTTTGCCTGCAGCCTGCGGGACCTGACCAGCCTGCGTTCCTAGGCTAGTGATGAGTTGGTTATTTTGTTATTCAAAACCTGGGTTGGTCCGATGGTCCTATAGATTTCCCCTCAGCCGACTCTGGTAAAGAACATCGTGCACACTTTCTGTTTGCTTCTTTCCATTAATGTAGACAGTGAACAGTATATTGAACAGTTGTGTGCCTCAGTGAGCATATCAAGCCGGGATGTATTCCTAAAAAGCAAAGTAAACCCAAGATGAGAATGGCCGCACAACCTATGCTGATGGGTAGACTCCGGCAGCGTTAGAAAGTTTACATGGCAACGGAATAAACAAAGACATGGTTCCAAACTGGTTTTGTATTTCCCTACCATTGAGAGGGGGGGTTCCTTTGGTTGCATTTTGTTGTAACGTAATGTAACGTACTGTGACGTAATGTAATGTAATGCAATGCAATGCAATGTAACGTAATGTACGGGAATGTGATGTGACGCACAAATACATATTGTTTGCATAGATATATGTTTGATTAAATATGCATACATACGCATATATTGTATGTGTACATCCTATGTGTATATGTATATATTATCTTGTTTATTTATTTACTATATATATATATACATGTTTATTATTTCTTTATGTGTGTATCATCCATGTATTCCGTGGTCATATTTATATATATATATACTGATAAGGATGTGTGTGTATATCCATAAGTGTGTGCGTGTGTGTGCGTGACACCTTGGCCTGACAGATCACCGAGGCATTCGCCTTCAGCTGCGTTACGGATCTTTGTCAACTTCCTTTGACCAGAACCGAAAGTGGCCCAGCCCAGCCCAGAGGACCCATCCGGACCGGGGAATTTGTGGAGCCTCGGTACCCCTATTGATTGCTGCTTTCGGTTGTGAGGCACAGTGAGGCATCAGTTTGTTTGCCTTTCATCGGATTTGGGATATATAACCAATGTCCAGACGTACGGATGGAATCAGCTACAAGGCATGTGCATGATACATACTCATAGGAGGCGGATGTGACCCAAGAGATCTGACCCCTATCCATTTGGCATGTGTGTCCTGACATGTATACCCTCTCTAAATCTCTCTAAATCACTCTAAATCACTCTAAGTCACTCTAAATCACTCTAAGTCACTCTAAATAACTCTCAACCATTCTCAGCCTCTGTGGGCCTTGGTTTTTGCAGTGAAATCTTGAAAATCGATCATTGCCATCACATGAATCTGGATTTTTGTTTAAGCTTATGCTTTGGGGCTCCCATGGTCTTTCCAAATCTCTTATCCTAAAGAGAGCAACCCACAGAAATTGAGACCAAGGGTCGCCACAAGATGCCACAAGAGCAATTCAAGTCTTGGAGTGGAAAGGGGTCAGGTGCCTGAAACCTCGTAAATAACAGTGTTTGGGGCATGTGACCCCTATCCACTTATGGGGCGCCCCAAAATTGTCATGGGATGTGCCCACACAGCTCATGTCGGGTACCCAAAATGGGACTGGGGAGCTCCAGAAAAGTTTAGCAGCAGGGAGTGGGAAATGGGAGATTTCACTACATTCAAGGTGGTATCCCAGGACTTGGGGGCTAAACCTCAAGTGGAAGGCGGTCACATGTAAGCTGTCACATCAGTTCCCTATGACATACATCCATACCTCCATACGTACATACGTACATACCAATACATACCAATACATGCCATTGCATGCCATTAAATGCCATCGCATGCCATTGCATGCCATTGCATGCCATTGCATGACATTATATGACATTGCATGCCATTACATGCCATTACATGCCATTACATGCCATCACATGCCAGTACATATCAGTACATACCATTACATATCATTTCAAAATTTCATAACATTACATGCCAGTACAAAACATTACATGACATACATACAGTAAATATATATATATATACACAAGGAAGCATGTTAAGCTAGCAAGCTGGTTTTAGTTCAAACATGTTCAAACCCTCTGAGATGCCCCGCACAAATATATGCAGACACAAACAGGATACAACATTATAACATCATACAACCTAGACAATTGTAAATACCTCAAAAGTGGATGGTTTCCTCTAGAAGTTTAACGTTATGACTTATTTATACAAGTACATTGAGAGTCAAGGTACGCACACAGCAGACCCCCAAAATTCAGCGGTTGAATCCATCATGAGTAATCACTTTTTGGGGGGATTTTACCACCGTCTATCTTTTTGGTGGGTTAAAAACCCACATCTATATGTACCAACATCTATTTGTTTGGTAGGTTATTCGAATTTATATATATATATATAATATACGTATTATTTATTATTATATGTTATTATTTTAATTTTTATTATTATGATTATTATTATATATATATATACACATTACATTATATATATATATATGTATGTATGTTGATTTCCTACGCCCCAGGGCCTGGTTTCCAGGTACCTGGACCCGGACTCCTGGAACGAGTTGCTGGCATCGGTTGGAGCCTCCAATGAGGAGGCGACCGATTTGAAACTGGCCATGGAAGCTGGTCCCATGATGATGTACAGTAATATTGTGATATATTACATATAATATATATATACATAGTATCATATGTGGCTATGATGTACAGTAATATGTGTGATGTACAGTATTGTAATGATATAGTGTGTATATCATATATATTCATAGCTTGTATATATTATATGTATATATATACATATACACGTATGTGTATGTATTTATAATCATGTAACTGACTGTTGTATAAAGAGAGGAACAATTATGTTGATGGTGATCCCAGCAATTGCATGTGTTGTAATATGTATATATATATATATATTGGGAACACATGCTCATGGATCCGAAAAAAATGCATGTGTTTTGGTCAGTCAAGTTTTTGGAAAAAAAAACGAACATGCTCACCCCCCAATCAAATTTCAGTGTTTACTCCTCCAACCTTATTTTTCTTGTATGTGTTTTCCTCGTCATGACGCCCATGACCCCTTTGATCATGAAGACTGCTGTGGGATTTTGAAGCTTCTTTGGGATGATTCCAAGCTGATCATCGCGGTATTCAAAGATAGCCTCTGGTAATTTAACATAGCTATTGAAAATTGTCATTTATAGTGGATTTACCCATTAAACATGGTGATTTTCCATAGTTATGGGACGGTTTACCAGAGGGTAGCAATGGAAAGTCACCGCAAATTGATGCCATGAATTTCCGGTGGCGAACCGTCCTGGATGGATCACCTTTAAAAGCGAGGCCAAGAATTTCTTCAGGGTCATGATGGCCAACAGCCAGCGCAGGTCGCCCAAGGTGCTGATGGGAGTTGATCTATTTTTTGGAGATATTTTGGATATTACTGGCGCGCGATTGGCAGAAAAAAAACCTAAACAACTAAAAAATGAAAATTATGATTGTAACACCTGTAACACATAAATTATGATATTACCTGGCATTATCATTTGAAAAAAACTTCAAGTTACTCCAAAACATCGGAAACTAGTAAGGGTTGATGCGGTCAACCACCTTTTGAAAGCGCCGTATTTGTTGGGTGCCCTTTGGTTGAAAAACATGCTATACTGTAGGATGTTCAGTCTCTTTGCCCGACCACCATTAATTTTTAATTATTGCTGGAACAGTCGCACACCTGAACCTATTTGAAAATCTAGCCGAACCATCCAATCGAAAGCATTCGGTTGGTCATGTTGGCCATGTCCCACCCCATAGATAACATTAATCCATATTAATCCATTTAATCCCCCATATTTGTCAAGTAACATCACGGACAATCCCTTTTCTGGGCACATGTCCCCAAAATCATAATTGTTGGTGGTTCTACCTTTCTCCCTGATTGTTCGTTGAATCCTGATTTGTTTGTTGTTGGTTCTATCATTGAAACCGCTTCATGTTCATTGGTTAAATCGACTTAACCCCACATTTTAGTGTCTTTACCATCCCTTTTGAGGTGTATCAATGATTGTACAATAATTAGTATTTAGAAAGCAACATCATCATCATCATCATCATAATTTATAATTGGTAACTTAACTCCTCCCCATTCGCCAGTTGCTGATCCCAACGTTACCATCCCACATGCACCGCCAGATCAGCCGCCGCTTGTTCCTCTTGGTCCTGCGGAATGCGGAGGGCTTCGTCGCCGCGAGAGGTGCGCCGCGGAGTTCAACATGAACCAATGAACCAGTGGATTAGAGGTAGCCTATTCTGAGACAAACCCATATATTTTATTTACTATCAAAACTGAAATAGTAAGCAATAAACTATCCCCATGTAATATATATATATATAAGAAAGAATCCCCAATTGAGTTTTTAAGATTAATGATGAGGTAAACCCATGTAAACCCAATATCCATTGATGATTCATTGCCAAGTGTCAAAATTGGGTCTGCCCTCCAATTGATTGGTAGTTGCGATGGTCTATTTTTGGGTTACCAGATTGAGTCGTGTATTTCGGATGTCTAACCTCATTTTCACTCAAGTTGTCGTTTCGCAGGGAAGTTACTTGATTTTCCTCTAGTTTGCAGACGCCCAATCCACGCTTTGCTTCGTGGTTTTCAGGTCTTTTAAAGAACTTGAAACTCAGCAACGAAGCAACTGCATGGCGCGCTCTCATGGAGCACGCGCGAAGGCACAGAAGGGTGTTGGGTGACTGGATGGGTTGGGCGGCCCAGATTCCAAACATTTGGATATGAGAAATGATGCGACCAACATTGCACGTGTGATCCTTATAAAAGTTGCCATTGCAGGGTTGCCGTGTCATGTCTTCATATTCATTGCCGTTGTTAGATGGAAGAATATGGAGACAATGTGGTTCACCCTTCAATGTGTGTTGCACGAGAACGTTGGGGGTTGCATCATCACAGTGAATTTGCGGAACCTGTTGTTAAACGTCGACCTGGACAACCCGTGGACAGTTTTATTTTATTCTGCAGGTACTAGTATCCATGTTTCAAGGAAAAAAGTAAAATATCGACTCGTAGGATTAAAATATTGTTTCGTTTGCTTCCTGTCAACTTCCTGTATGGTTCTTCCTTCAAGAAAACGATGGTATGCGACCACTGCATAGTTGGGTGCCATGGCACTTACTGCATCCTCCAGGACTGCTAAGCACAAAGGGATCCACCAAGACAACAGCAGATCCATCACCGCAACAGTGGCCCGGCTTCATCAACCTCCGGTGCTCGCAAATTGTTTTGGCACAACCATAATATGTAATGCATCATGGACATGACACCAATATTGATTGATACCAATCAATAATATAGTTTGATTATGTTTGATTTTTCAGTTGATAGATACCAATACATATTCCATTCATTTCCATTCCAAGCAGCAGATGAAATGTAATCTAGCCAATTTCTTGCCCGTCGATTCACCATTTTGTTGTACTAAAAAGGTAGAGCTGGCCTACTTCTGAGTTTTTACACGTAGGAATCATTGAATGAGCGAGACTAACTGGAATTATGATCAGGTTGGAGACCACATTTTACTGGTTTCCCATGGCAATGGCAGCAGGTGCATCCCCGGAAATAGCTTCATTTTGGTGAAGATCCCCAGTGGTCAAAAAGCAAAGTGATGGTTCAAAAAACATCAGTTCAATGTGTTTTCTTGTCTTGTCAGATCTGATCAGCATTGCTTACGTACAATACCTTGTTTGCAGAAAATTGCAGAAGCAGCACCTTTCTGCTTGTGTTCTTTTTTCAAGTCTTACTCCACGCCCAGGAAAAAACATAGTCTAAGCCAATCCAAAGTATATGTATGTTTAATTATGTTGGTATATATATATATATACGTATTAAAAAGATTTAAAAAAAACATTACTCCCCATTGGATGTCCCTTCCATTCCATCCCCTTGGGTCATCTTGGGTGGTCCGGGTGTACTGGGGATAACCTTTCCAGATGCTTTGTGTATCTGTTAACCTGATAAAATGGACACGTTGGCGATGAAATCTAGGAGGAGTATTTCTTTGATAGCTGATATATGCTGATATTGATGGTGATAAAATCATATAAAATCCCGAAAAAAGAGACCATATCTCCTTGAAGGGTGAATCAAATCCCGTTTTTGATGGTCAAACCCACACTGAAACCCCACATGCTGTTGGAGATGAATGATGAATCCCCCACGGGTGTGAGTCCGTCCGACTTTTTATGCACTGGCAACCCGTTTCTTGACAAAGCCATCCCATATTGTTGGTTGAATATCCCTAGTGCGTCACCATTATGCCTTCATTTTTGATAGTTAGTGCAAGTTAGTTCCCCTATTTCATCCGATATAAACAACACAAGGATGCTGCACCTTACACCCAGTCTCACGCCGTAGATTTCCGATATGTTTTTCTCCACTGGTAGTATTCCAACATACATTCCATTAAATATCCCCTATACATCCCTGTCATACGATATCCCCATTAAAGCATCTTTTTGTTAGTTAAATCACAATGTATCCAGATTGTTTGTTGGTCAATGGTTAAGTTCTCTGGCTACTATCTCCAAAATATGCATGGACCCTGCCAAGAAATAGGTTTGAAGATTACACTACATTCCTCACAGACTTAGTGATTCTTGGGGTTTATGTTAAACGGGGGGTGGTAGATTATATACTCTGAAATCACCATTTGGGGGCTGTAAGAAAAAGCAATTCATCACCATTTTTGCTGCTGGAACATGGACAACCTCCAATATAGCAAGTAAGTAGGATGATCTCCAATAACATGGACAATCTAGAATAACCCCCCTTGTAACAACTCAGTGAGGTTTATCAACTTTTTTTTAATGAAGGGAACCATCAATCACTGGTGCCACAGTTACGATTTCCACATACATACATTTCATTATATCATCATATTCTAAATATTGTATCCTTATATTAATATCATATTAATATCCAAAGTAATATCCGCATGTTCATCTTAGTCAAGTCTCAACATAGTACTGGACATACTTACTACTCATAACACCACTCATTTTCATATGTTTATTTCGTGCCTAGTTCAATTCTCCATGTTTTCACCTGGTGCCACGCCAGGAGCTTCAGCAACTGCTGAGTCCGCAGTGCAACGCGCTGCAATGCGAAGCCTTGCTGCGCATGGCGCTGGCGAAGCAACAGCGCGAGCGGAGTTCAGGCGAGGGCGTCGATGGCAGCACCGGCCGGGGTGGGGGAGGCCTGGGGGTATGGCTATTTAATGGGATTTATCGTGTTTCCTGATCAAAAACACGGGCAAGAGACCCCAAACAGTGTGGGTGGTAGGAAGTCAATGTGCCAGATACGAGCAACAGTATCTATGGAACAGTAACAGATGAGGTTAGACATGATCGCAATTACAGCAGCAGTACCTTCTATATAGATCCATATAGAGGAGCTCACAAGATCCTCATACAAAAACTCCCCATGAGCATCCCAGATGAACTTTCATACAAGCACAAGGGGATCTTCAAGGTCTTAATGCAAGGACCTCTTGAGGATGCTGCCAGCAGGATTTCCACAAGATCTTCTGACAAGGACCTGTACCAGATCATTATTTTCATACAAGCACAAGGGGATCTTCAAGGTCTTAATGCAAGGACCTCTTGAGGATGCTGCCAGCAGGATTTCCACAAGATCTTCTGACAAGGACCTGTACCAGATCATGCAAAGACACCGGGAGGATTTCACCAGGACCTCTTCAAGAGCTTCTCACAAGGACCTGTAGAAGATCGTGCAAAGGCCTCTGACAGCATTTGATTAGGATCTCCACAAGATCTTCGGCTGCTGCTAGAGCGGATCTTACAAGATCTTGATGCAAGAACCTCCCCAGAGCCTCCCACAAGAGCTTTCATACAAGCACCTCTAACAGAGAGGAATTTAGCAGGATCTCCACAAGAGCCCGTTTATGCGAGAATTTTCAATGAAAAAATGAGAAGAGTTCACCAGGAGCACTGAAAGACTTTCAAAAAACGCGCCAATACTTTACTTCTGCCAGGGGCAGGTTCCCAAAAACGCGATTTTCGACCCTTTCAAAACGTGGTCCAATTTCACCAAATACTGCCCCTGCCACAAAAAAGCGACCTCCAAGAGCACCTATCATGTCGACTCACTGCCCACGACTGCCAACTTTTTAGCACCATGCAAAAAGTCACACACCAGCTCCCCGGTGAAAAACATTCAGGGCCAAAATTTATGTAGTACCTGCGCAGTCGACATGGACATGGACATCTCACAAGAGCAATTGCGCAGTTGAAATGCACATTGACATCTCACATGAGCAATTTTAGGCGAGAATTTAAAGGGAAAATGCCTGGGCCCAGAGAGTGTACGCTGATCTAACACCGGTCTTTAACACCTACCGTAAGAATCCCTCAGTGTGGACGCGCTGTTTGGAGAAAAATCAGCTGTTTGTGGTTGGGATATATCACTGATATACTGATTAATTAATGGGGTTTCTAATGGGATTGTATTGGGGATATAGTGGGAATTGATCACCAGCAGTATGAGTTTATCAATGTAATGGTCCATGGGAAAATGCTGCTGGAAATACGGACTTTAAAGCCTGGAGTTAGACGAAGTGAACCTATAGGAGTGTGTATGTGTATGTATATATATATAGATAGTCGCGTGTTCCCAGTTGATGTTCAATGGTAGTTTCCAATCTTGAGATGAAAATTGCAAGAAATATTGCAAGAAATGTTTGAAACATTTGGGGAAATTATGATCCATCGGTCGATGTAATGGGGTGCCAAGTATTCAATCTATGGGTACAATTGGTGCGTTTGTTTGGTCATGGTAAAACTGTTCAGTCCAGCCAGTCCTTATAATTCAAAACCATATCCCATTATATTACCAATGGTAGCCTCATGATATACCCGTGGGTAAACCATCATGTTTTTTTATAGCCAGGGATGTTCCATATTGCTATTAGATATCCCATGAAATATTCCATGATCTTTCCAGGATTATTGGTTTTTATCATCGTTTCTCAGACTTTTTAAAATCGGGCTGTTTGCATATATACACCACTAAGCTCGTTTATGGGTTCACTGGATTCAATAACCCCAGTTATCTTAGTTGGAAACTACCTTAGTTAACATCAATCAGCTGTACTGTAAATCATTAACCCCCAATAAATTACCCCACCTACATCCCGTTAAATCCAATTAAATCTCACTAAATTCTTCGAAGACCCGCATGCATCCCGTATAAATCCAATGAAATCCCCATGTTTTTCCCCCATGGTCATCTCGTATCGCAGGCGCCCTGCGGTTAGAGGAAGTGCTGTTGGTGGCTGTGGCCGGGCTGGGGCAGCGAGCGGATGAACTGCGGAAGGAACTGGGGCGAGATGCTGGGACTGCGACAGGCCATGGCTGGACTCCACCATATTTATACTTGGATATAATTTTATCCTGGGTTTGTTTAAGGTGATTGTTTTATTTTCCCAATGGAAAATCCACCATTTCGGGAATCTATAGGAACTTTTTAAATTTTTGGGACCCCCTAAGCAAACCCAAGTAATGACCTCTCTCTCTCTCTCTTTGTATGCATATTTATATATACAAATATTTTTTAACAATCAGTAGGAATATGATGATAATGTAATGGGAGCTATGTAAACATTGCAATTACTGATGTCCGCCCCAATTTCAGACAGATTCAACAAGGCCAATAAAATGATGGTTTCACCATCAAACATGGTAATATTAAACATTTTGAACCAAACATAGCCAGGATATTACTGTACATTATATATACGTGTATATATATATACACATATAATGGGATATGATAAATGGAACAGCCATGAACAACTTGCCCCCAGCCAGGTGACTCCCCAAGAATGCTTTAACCACCAAAAACCAACCTGAACCATCTATTATGAGGGTTCACCGAACAGGGCGTTTTGGTTGAGGTTGGTTGAACCCCCTGAAGTGATGTGGGGATGAAACTGGATGGATGGGGCATATTGAAGTGAGTTTTCCCAACATTTTTCATGGTGGCAAAATTTTCATAATCTGGGGATTGAATGCTTCATGTTTGATCGTCGTCTGGTATTTTCAGCAGTACCAGGTTAAAGTCACCCGGTTTATCTCCTTTGGTTGGGCGTTTTTGTTCTCGCAAATCACAGGCGTGGGAGAGCAAGAGTTGTTGAATCAACTGCTGAGTTGAGTCACCAAGTTTGTGTCCCTCAGAAGAAGACGGGATACACACTCCCGTAGGTGTTGAATTCCTTCAGTGTTTCGGCCGAAGGAGTTTAGGGAGGACATCGTTGACCACTTTACAAGAATTACAGAATTATACCAGCCAAGCAACACCTGTGATATATGCACAGATTTACCATGACAAGTTGTGATGGTTCGGACAGCATCACACCCTGGAAACCCTCAAGTTACCCAGACAAGAGCATACTGAGGACTATGACGGAGAGGATGTGTCCACGAGTTTTGCCACCTTGCTTCGTCAGCCAGGGGCAGTGTCAGCAGCATGGCACATCAATTGCAGGGGTCACTGGTGAAACCATGGTGAAAACTGAGGTGGAGACGCTTTATGAGGGAAACATACCGGTGGACGGTAAAATGGTTTCAAAACACAACAGTTGCATGCAGATATTCAAACCAAGTCCATAACCACTAAAATTGTTTTACACTGAATCGCTGATGATTGTGGTTGTTTTATTGCTGCGCCTGGATGTTCAGACAAACTAATTTTCTTCGGATTGGAAACGAACATATTATCCATAGATTCTCTTTGCAAAATACAATAACATGTTGTGCCTGGAATTCGGATAGAAATACAATCGCAATGCCATATCTCATGATTCCTAACTCCAACACAAAAATCATTCCAACATGTCAGGAATTTCCCTTAGATTTCCATGACTTCCTTCAAATTTTCCACCCAAACATGACGATTTCTCGCAGATGTTCCGTAGACATCGACGGTCTCCCCGGTATCGAGGCTGGTGCGGCCGGTGCCGGCGCCAGCGCCCTGGAGCGGCTGCGGCGCTCCATGACGGTGTCCGTGGCCGAAGCGGCCAGGAAACTGCAGAGAGGCCGTGGAAGCTGAAAAAACATGCGATATCCATGGGATAATTTCTGTTCATGGGATGTATGATAACTGAGAACTGTTGTGTGATCATTTATGATAGAATTTGAGGATGGTTTACCAGTTTTTGCGTTATCAACATTAACCTTATGCTGTAATCGTGGCATGCTAATGGAAATGTTAAAGGGAATTCATGATTCATGGGAAGATACATGGGATATGGAAATATGAATGGGAATAATCACGGGATCTTAGTGGAAATGTCAATGCAAACAACATTGAAAATATGAATATGAAGGGAATTTTCATGGGATATAAATGGCAAGTATAGACATGTTAAGGGGATCAATTTAATGGGATCTCGTACTCGAATAAGTATATTCGAATAAAGGTTTACACTAAGGTGTATGAATGGACATATACCATCAGGAAATTGTTGGTATATCAATATGAGTAATATTAACGATATACTCATGGAATATAACTGGGAGATATACTCGAAATGTTAACGAGATATTAATGGGACGCCATGGAAGTGTCAATGAAATATTGGAAAAAACATAGTGGCAATATTCATGGGATTCATGGGCTATTAATCGGATAAGTATAATTGAATACCACATGAAGCTGTACTAATGGAATCTACAGTCATTAATGGAACTTTTTGATGTTTAACTATGGGATATTAAATCAAAATTTGATATGTATATATATATATAATTAATATGGGATAGATGGATATGTATATGCGGATATACAATCAACAATGGAAATATGAATGGGAATACTCGTGGGATAGTAATGGACATGCCAATGGAAAAACAATTGGAGTATAGACGTGGTATATGTATAATCTACAATCAATACTGAACACATGACTGTGGGTATTAATGGGAGATATATATGGGCATATTGGATACTAACGCAATATGAATCAATATGATTTAAATGTTCATGGACATACCGTAGGGAATAATATATATGTTTTTTTTTTTCTAATGGGATATGATTTAACTTTACATTAGGGTGTAATAATGGACGTATTGATGTGGTATTATTGGGATGTATGAATACCAATTTGACATTAAAGTGATATATTGCATCAATTATCCCCAAATGGCCGTATCACAACAGCTATTTTCAGCTTAGTGAATTGGTTCAATTCAGCCAGATGCATCAAGGTGTATTACTGTAACGGTACGGTATGATTAATGGATTATAATCAGATATGGCTTGTATAGGCTTACAATCTGTAGTTGAAGGCTGGGATTGTGGTAACTATCCAAAAGTAGCCTTATTCCAGGAGGCATGTTGGTAACTTTTTTTTCCTAGGTATATAATTGTTTTTTTCAACAATCTTGCGACGATGTTTGCTTTCTAGTTTTCAATGTCGATGCTAAGGTGTAATATTTTGGGATTCGAGGATGGTCTGATTCGGTATGTCTGATGTTGTACCCGGCCTGGTGAACGTTTACAAAAAGCAATGGAAAGATCCACCATGCTATTCATGGGAAAATCCACTATTTCAATAGCCATTTTCCATTGCAAACTGTTAGTTCACCAGAGGGTAAGGTTTTCTGAGGATTTGAGGATGATCTGATAGGGTGATGATGTAACGCTCTTGAGGATTTGAAGATGATATGATACGGTGATGATGTAAGGCTCTTGGGTGTTCGGACTTTGAGGATTTGAGGATGATATGGTACGGTGATGATGCTAGGGTGTTTGATGATGATCTGATTTGATACGGTTTTCATGTTGGGGTGATGATTGCCAAACTGTCCTAAGATGATATATTTTGAGCAAAACAAGTATAAGGTGCAGGCGCAACTTTGCCGGTGCCTTTTTTTATTTCCTCGGTGCAATGACTATGCAGTTTTTGGAAATCCCGAAGGCTAAATACCAGCACGTGACCTTATTACTAGTGATTTGTTTGATGTATATGTCCAGATTCATGGTTTATTCCGCATCAGCCTTGGGTGTGGTAAATGTATTATATACGTGGAGTTCATCATCCATCAATGTAATGTTTGATACCCATTGATATTGATATTGTTTAATTATAGTTAATGGTTTAGTTTGTGTTATGATTTGTCATGATGTTCTTTGATGTATCAAATTCATTAAGCTGCATTGGGTCTAAATTATTGAAATGGTTGAATGAAAGGCTTATGCAGTTGATGAA